TGCATATAAATAATTTTGGCACTAATTTGCCTAGCGCTTTGCAGATAAATATTTGCTCGCAAAGTCACCAATCAAATTAATTCATTTGCTAGCCAATCATAAAGCTGCAGGTAAGGTAGCAACCAATCCTGGCCTTCCAGTAAAAAAAACCGCTGAAGAAGACGAAGGTACCAGAGCGGGACTCTTGTACGGGAAAATGGACAGTAGTCAGCACGGGCCGGTGAGTTCTGTTTTGAATAAATGCGACTGTACCGATGTACAGAATAAATTACACAATCTAACAGTAATGATATGGTAACGCCTTGTCAAACTACGATGCAATAAATTTGTTTACTGATGCTAAATCTATTTTTAGCTGGGTGTTTGAGCTGACATAACGTTTTTAAAATTACCAATAAACTTTTTGAATGCTAACAATTAGTGAATTGAATTGCTAACGATTAGTTGTTAAATCTGTGTTTTGATACTAGGTCTGCTAAGACCGTGTTTTTTTTATTCGTGATGTCTTACACCGTACGTAGCTATAATAATAACGAATAGATATGTTAGCTAAATATGAGTGCTATAGTATTTTATTCTAATCATGCAGTTACATTAGCACATAAAACAAGTAATTCATGATACAGTACTTATCCAGTAATATGGTTATGGTACTATGCAGGGCACCAGTGGTGTTGAGCAGGCAGTAAGGGCAATGATGTCTGTCATTGCCAACACTTTGGAGGAGTCACATACAGTAGGAGATCAACGTCTGCACAAAGGATTCCTTCACTTGTGACAGGCACACAGAACCAAGCATCTGGTTCTGCCAGGCCTGAAATGAGTGGCAGTGTACAGGTCCAGCAAGAGATGTGCAGGTTACAATAGTTTTCTTAGAGGTTAATCATTCGTCACATGATATCTGATTACTTCAAACTTTATTGCTATTTCAATTGTTCTCAAGATCCTTTCCAGGGCTGTTCAGAAAAGATGGACCTGTACGTGGAAAACGGAGGTTATCTACACCTACAAACTATATAAATAAAACAGTCAGCCTTACATTCTGTGCACTACCGGGACCAACTACAACCACCCTTACAGCGGCAGATGAAATGCGTCTTATTCAGGCTGGCCTTGGGAAGAAGCTAGTGTCTCTGCCTGAGGACAGCTCACATGATGAGGTAAATGTCTATTGTGCTTAATGCTTCCATCCATCCATCCATTGTCCAACCTGCTTATCCTATTGGGTCGCGGGGGGTCTGGAGCCTATCTCGGAAGCAACGGGCATGAGGCAGGGAACAACCCTGGATGGTGCGAGGCAACAGTGCTAACCACTGCACCACCATGCCGCCCCATGCTTAATGCTTAATAATACTATTTGCATGCTTTCTTTGCGTTCTCAATAATTACTAATTTCATATGTACACTGTGTTCTGTAGTTATGCTTCAACAATATGACTACCCTAATGCATAGTTAAATAGCATTTTTACATGACAAAAGTATTTATAAAGCTAATTTATTCTGAACAGATTGTTAAACTTCTGGAGATTGAGTATCCTAAACTGGGGAACATCACAGGTGGATGGATGCTTTATAAAGCCACAGGTAAGAATTCTGCTAAAGAATTCTGCATAATAGAATATATAATATATACTTTATATATATATATGTAGTATATTGTAATTTTTTAATAGTTTGTGATATTTTGTGCTGTTTTCAAAAATAGTACTAGCACTAACATGGTACTAGCATTTAAACCATTTTCTGGAATCATACCAGAAAATTCTTAGTGATTTTTTGAAGTGACCTTGTAAAATTTCTGTGTTTGACAGCTGATGAACGATGAGCTGTATGCATTCAAAATTGTGATTCCAAAGTAAACCACAAATAATAACCAATTAAATAACTAGGAATGATGGTTGTTGTCAGTGGCATTTGTAGATCAAGTCAGAGTAATATGCTTAGTAATATGCATAAGTATGATTACAAAGGTGCCAGGTATTTTTAGTCAATAGGATCATCAACAGTTGGCTTTTGTTATTAAGTGGACGCACTTATAACATGCTTCCCGAAACTGGGATAAAATGGTGTCATTTAAAGCTTATAATATATGTACATTATTTGTACTTCTTAAAAATAATTTATTTATAACATTTTAATAAATAGGAATTTACATATTTTCACAGGTGGGACTGGTCATAGAAAACTTCAAATTATCCCTCTAGAGTCAGAGGGGTATTCTGGAAAGCAGCTTAAAATTTTGACAAATGCAGGGGAAATCGTTTTGTATGTAGCTCCACTACAGGAGGAGATGGACCTGAGTCCTCTTCCTCCTGATGCTCAAGAGTTTGCTAAAATGCCCAAAAAACCTGCAAGAGATGTGGCATGTATATGCCTCTTCAGTTGTTGGCATCTCATGTGGACAACTGTGAAGTAAGTAACATGTAGTCTGTAAATTAGAATAGATAAGTTTTTGGTTTTTTTTTTGTTATATATGGCCCATATATGAATCAATAAAACATACTAAGAATCAGCATTATTTAATGTGTGTTCAGGGTAACAGCCTTGAACATGATGTTTCCTGTGAGACTCCTGTTACATCAGAAGGCACTGAGGTAATAGCATCGTTATTAGTTTATAATTTAATTTATATTTTTCATATAGTCAACATAAAATATATTGACTTGAAAACACTTCTTTTTTCTGACTGGGTTAAAATTTTCACACATAAATAATTCCTTATTGTCTCATTAAGAAAAAACAGTAACAAAATATGTCTTTAGTGCCTTACTAACAAAAAATAGTAATGATCAGATATGTGTTGTTCTGATATCTAGTGTGATATTGTTTTTTGCATAGAAAAATAGCCCCGTACAGTGCCCAATTTGCTTAAAGGACTTTGCTGCTGATGAAATAGAGACACATGCCAGTTTTTGTGATGAGGGGTGAGTTGTATATAATGTTGCACGCAATGTTGGATGCCTTTTAAGTAACAGTAGGCTACAGCATCACCTTCTATGTATTCAGTAGATTTGATTTCAACAGATATCAGCCTTCTACAAGTGGAAACGTTGACAGGCATCCTTCACCTTTACACAGCGTTTCAGACATGCAAGGTGTGTTTCCTTAAAGAATTCTCCTCCTCCCCTTCCTAAAGATTTCCAATTACCAGCTAAGGTTTATCTGAATTATTGGCATTAAAGGGGTATTTATGATGACAACATTTAACATACTTGTCATATTTTTGAATTCTTTAGAATGGATGACCACATCAGACCCCAAGAGAGCTGCATTGCTTTTTACTCGAGAATTACTGTGCAAGGCAGAGAGACATGCTGAACCCCTGTGTTTCACTTTGGACATTCACAAGAGTGTTGAGGAACAAGACCATGCTATTCTGTTCTTCTACAAAAAAGGCAACGTCAACTGGGCATCTCCTCTTCAGTGCAAACTAAGAGGTATTGTTTAAAAACCATTTACCACTTTTATGGTAATTCAAATAATATTTTGGTGCATTATAATCCACATAATTTATATGATCTAACAGGTGATTCTGCTGTTGGTGAAGGTGTGAACCGTTATGTCCTCTCTATACCATCTGTCATA